TGCGCAGTAACAGCCAATCAGCAGTGGCTGATGAAATATTAATATGTTTAAAAGTAGAGTACGCACCAAAAACTTTGTCAGTCTTTCTTGCATCCTGAAGAATAAAGCAACCACAACAAGTAAAAAGGTTTCTCGCAGTATTATTTCAAGAAGAAACGTCTTCCAGTTTGCTTGCTCCTGCTGTTGATTGGTTTCGTCTGCTTGCTGTTTGAAGTTCCGGTCGTCAGCGTCCTGCTCTGACATGGTCCTACTAGTTGTCTGCTGCGTGTTTCCACATTATCACTTTTCCAAAAGAGTTTATTTCATCGGAGTTCTTTTCAGAACTTCCGATATCGTGTGGTAAGTGGCTTCACCAGCAGAACTAGTGCCCACTCCGTTCCGGGAGCAACAATCCGTTCCATCGCTTGTCGTTGACAGTGGGCCAACGAAGCATAGTTCGTGTTCATCGTTGGCAGTGGCCAACAATCAGTCTGTCCGTCGATCTGGTTGGCAGTGAGCCAACAAGAAAAATCGTGTTCGTTCGTGTCTGTTGGCTGTGCCCAACAGTAATGGACTATAAAATAATTTTAGGCATTAAAAATAGGGTTAATTTCTTATTTTTGCCACGTGCCGTGCAAAACCACCTAGGCATTCGATTTCTAATCAAAAGCTAACTTTTGAAGTATAAATATCCAGCAAAATTTTGAGATATTGAATTAAATGCCTTTTCAAGAAAGAAAAATCCCATTGTGCTGCAATTAACACGTTACGTTTTTAACGATTTCTCGATAACGATACATGTCTTGATTCGAATCACATTATCCGTTTAAAGGCATAGGTAATCAAATGGCATACTTAAAAAACTACATTTTGTTTGTGTAAATACAGACTTTTTTTTAAATACAGTCAACTCTCATCAACTCGATTTCTACTAACTCGATATCGAGTTATAGAACTATAGTAAAAATGAATTCATGGCTACGGTGATAGCGATTTTGTATGGGATTGTTATTCTATAAGCTGATGGTCCCTTCAATATCGAGTTGTAGAGAGATCACTGTATGTCTATAATTACGAATGGCATCAAAACCTTGTAAAACCGAAATGTACTTCCGAAGTAATTCCGAACATTATTGAAGTGATTCAGATGTGTTGTTTGAAGTGATTCAGTGAATTACTAAGTGGTTCAAACTTTCTAAAACAATTCAGCACTTTCCAAAGTGAATCCGAATTTTTCTGAAGTGATTTAATACTATCCGAAGAGATTCCGAGCTTTCCTGAAGTGAGTCAATTCTTTCTGAAATGATGTAAAACTTTTCTATAGTGAATCAGTTCTATCCAAAGTGATTTAGTACTTGCGGAAGTGATTAAAAACTATCTGGAATATTTCAGTGCTTTCCGACCTGACTTTCTTCCGAATCACTTCGGAAAAAAAAGACTGATTCACGTCAGAAGATTCCTTAGGCACTTCGGAAAGTACTGAATCATATTGGAAACGTTCGGAATCACTTCTAAAATAACTAAATCCCTTCTGAAGCGTTCGGAATCTATTCGTTAAGTACTGAATCACTTCATAAAAGTTCTAAATCACTTCGGAAAATACTGAATTACTTCGGAAATTACTGAATCACTCTTGAAAAATTTCGGAAACACTTCGAAAAATACTGAATCACTTCAGGAATGTTCGGAACTACTTAAGATAGTACTGACTCACTTCAGAAAGTTTCTAAACCACGTCGAAAAGTACTGAATCTTAAAAAAAATCGGAATCACTTCGGAAAAAAAAGCCTGATTCACTTCAGAAAATTTCTAAATCACTTCGGAAAGCACTCAATCACATTGGAAACGTTCGGAAACACTTCTAAAAGAACTAAATCATTTCAGAAGCTTTTGGAATCTATTCGTTACTATCTATTCGTTCACTTTTGAAAAATTCGGAAACACTTCGAAAAATCACTTCAGAAATGTTCAGAATGACTTCGGAAAGAACTGAATCGCTCCAGAAATGTTTGAAATCACTTCAAAAAGTACTGAATCCTTTCAGAAATGTCCAGAATTACTTCGGGAAAAAACTAAATTATTTTGCATTGCTCGAGCATTGCTAAAAGATTCAATTATTTTCGAAGAGATTCCGTTCATGCGGAAATTATTACAATCTTTCTGGAGCGATTTAGCACTTTCCATAGTAAAACCGAAATTTTCTGAAGAGATTTAATGCTATCCGAAGAAATTCCGAGCTTTTCTGAAGTGGGTCAGTACTTTCTGAGGTGATTTCAAACTTTTCTAGAGTGATTCAGTTATATCCAAAGTAATTCAGTACTTGCGGCAGTGATTACAGATTATCTGTATTGATTCCGTTCTTTCCGGAGTAATTCCAAACTTCTCTGATGTAATTCAATACTTTCGGAAGTTATTCCGAGTTTTGCTGAAGAGATTAATTATTCTGAACTTTTCAAAACGATTCAGTACTTTCCGAAGTGATCATGACTTTTTTTGAACCGATTCCGATTCCGATCTAGATTTGCGAGAGAACTTTAGTCAAAAATTGCTCAATTGTTTGGTAAATACAAAATTGGGAAAACTATGTAGATCAACTTTGTCGAAGACCGCAAATCGATTCGATTTCTGTGCAAAACATTCAAAAATAGGTTACGTCATTGATGGATGATCCCTAATTGGTTCCTGCTAGACACACAACTGAATCTCTAGATGTTGAGCTTCATGATTGATATTATCAGAATCCGATAGGAACAGAAATTCCGAGAACTGAAGTGGAGGTGGGTCGGCGGCTACACACTACGAAGAGGCGGACACTAAATATGCATGCAAGCGCAGGGGCAGGACACATCGCAGCAAAAGAAGACTTGGCAGAGAAAGGCGGCGGAGTCTCAACAAAGAAATCCAAGCAAGTTGAAACTTACCTGTGTTAAAGCAAAAATAATTCACTTGCTGATTTCCAGAATTTTGAAATCATTAGATGTTATAATGATATTTTGTACTTGTTAGATACAAGATGAGGTTCAAATGCAAGTGTTTTATAAATAAAACCACTCAATTTCGCTTTCAGATCCATTAATCATAAAATCGCAGATTGTGACACTCTGAAAGCGAAATTGACAGGTTGTATGTGTCAAACACTTGCCTTTCTACCCCTTCTTGTATCTAACAAGTACAAAATATCATTATAACATCCAGTGTTGGCAAAATATCAAAAAATCAAATCTCACCAACGCCCAAGATCACGCTTGATTTTCGTAGACGAAAATCAACAAGCAAACAACTGCGGTTGATTTTGCAAGCTGTGATATCAAGCTAACAAAAATCACCCATTGCAAATCTTACCAAACTGTGGTGAGATTGAGTTTAGGGATTTTTGCTTTACACCCGAATGCAACCGAAACTTCCATAACGGCTTGCAGCAGTCCCTTCGCGTCTGCCATCGGTGAAGACTAAAAAGAGATAGCAAACTATGCTTTCTTTTTCTAAGAACACGATGTGCAATGGAATCATTTTTGTGTCGAGTCAGCTCTCAGCTTGATTTTTGTACGTTGTGAATAGTCTCGCAATATCAAAGGAGCTTGTAAAATCAATATCAAGCATGATATTTTGTTCCAATATCACGCGTGATATTGCGAGCGCATGAGAGTGGAAAAATATCAATTGATTTCTGATTTTTCCAACACGGATAACATCTAATGATTTAAAAATTCCGAAAATGATTGTTTAAAGCAAGTGAGTGTAAGCAAGCCTGCCGCCACCCAGGATAGAAGTCTTTCGCGTTGAACCTTTAAAACCACTGAAAGTGTAATGAGAGAGAGAAGGATTAGTATTTTTCATTTAATTCCACTACTTTATTTGCTTATCCTTGACAGATACGCGTATTTCGTCTACAATGTGCAGACTTCTTCAGTGTCTTGTACTAATACTCGACTTAGTACAAGACACTGAAGAAGTCTGCACATTGTAGACGAAATACGCGTATCTGTCAAGGATAAGCAAATAAAGTAGTGGAATTAAATGGAAAATACTAATCCTTCTTCATCAGGATTCACTGAAAGTGTTCAGACTACATGAGTAAGTTGGGGAACAAAATAAGCCTTTAAGCAATTACGAGGAAAATACTTCAAACGGAAACTTTTCTGATTGAGATAATTATAATCCAAAAAAACAAACAATGCTTATCCTGATCGTTCCATTGAACCAGAAGCATTTAGCTTTTCTAAGAACAATAACCACCTAGTCCTGATGACGCTTGAAATACAAAGGAAAACAAATACATTCCTAGCCGCCAGCAGCACTGTCACATGGAAAAGAAAAGCATCAGGTAGGAAGAAAAAAATAGCACAAAGGCGTAAACTTGAAACTTGATACCACACCAACAGCGGAAGACAATGGGCATAATTGTTGAGTATCACTTTCGTGTAATTTGTGCTCTTCCCGGAGGCGACGGTTTTCGCAACTCATCCGAACAAGAAAAAAAGAAAAAATAATAATAATCGCTTCTCGATGCTGGAAATGGTTCCTTTGGAACTGAGGTTGTGATGAGGGTTGATTATTAATTTTTCAAATCGATTTATTGTTCCAAGTACTTTTGTATTATGTAATTCGTCCTGGGATCGTGTAAATGTTTAAGGATATTTCTAATTGATGGTTAAGATTTGCAAATCGGATGAAACATCTGCGGTTCCGACACATCTGCATTGATTTACCGATTGTATTACAAGCCATGACATGTGGAACATACGCTACCAAAACGCTTCCTTGTTCCAGGTCAACGACTCTCTGAGGGGGATTAAATTTTCTCGTTTCTCATTTCCTCCCAACAACATTAAATTGTATGTCGCTTCCAGCTGCTGTTTCTGTGTTCTACCACATCGTAGTACGGTTGAGATAGATTGTACAACATGTCCCGAAAAAAGAGACACACTTTCTTCCTGAACATGAATGAATTTTTCATGATGTGTATGACGCCTTCGATGTTATCTGTTTACGTGGCGTGACTCTTCTACGACGATAAGTACCTTGATTCTGCCAGATCCAGTTAGGTCCTCGAACGACCCGTATTCCCGGTGCCAACATGTCGTCTCCGTTGGCTGGTCCAGAGTAAATACTGTCCGTCACAGCAGCCCACACTGAATAAATATGCTCGTGGTCAGTCTTTCGTTCACTTTAAGTGATGATTCTTTCTTTTCGTACAATCTGCAACGATAGAAGAATAGAAAAGAAGAAAAAATCAGAATGAGTTATTCATGCTTGTAGGTTTGTATACCCCCTAGACACTAAAAGCAATTGAGTTCACTAGGCCATAGATCGTCCTTCGGTATATTTACCGATAGATGGAGGAGAGAAATTCAGAGCGAATAACAACATTATCTAGCATAATGGAAAGTCACAATCGGGAACGAGATTTTACTATCACTGAATCGATAGTAAACAACGGATGACCATCTCAACCCATCTTCAGGGAATGATGATGTGCGCTTATTGAAACTCTAGTCCGAACGCAAATATCAATGACACAGTTAGTCCATGCTGTTACACTACCCAATGTGTTCAGATAAGCGGAAAATTCCTTTTCATTTTCGTTGGGAAAAAGGAAGTTATCAGGAGGAAAAAATTTGATTGTGTTGGGAAATTTCCGCCCATCAGCAGCAGTGGGGTAGCCAGGGTTTGTTAGGCCCACATATACCGATCTAGTTAATCCCATGCAAAAATATAATATTGTATGTAAATTAGTAGTCGAATCAACAAACAATTGAAGGCTTTACTAATACAAGATCTCACAACATTATGCACAAAGTACAGACATACACTCTTAAATATTGTCTGACAATAAAAGTTCTATCACATCTAGCGATTATTTCCATCCTAAAATATGCATCAAGCGAATCCCAACGCAAGTAAAAGTTCCATTTGTATTCGACCTAGAGAAAACTTGTTTGTGTTTTCCGGAAAATAAAGCCAAAGTCCACTTTCCATTTCGATTTGGCAAACACTGAAAGGAAACCCCTTTGTTCCCGCACCGCCACAATGCAGCCATAAATGAAACGATCGAATTAGAGATTTCACTTTCATCGAGCTGGAGGTATTTAGTCCTACGCAATCTTTATATGCTTCCAATATCAGCACATGTAGGCACTGATTCATTAGATAGAGGTGCCGCTATGCATGCAACATGACGTTAACTATTTCGTAAATACAATTCATATTTCACAAAAAATAACTTACAACAGCACACGAACACCCAGTGGATGTCGAGCAGCGTACATTACACGAGCAAGCGTGTAAATGTTTTAGCTAGTATTTATGTAAGTTACTGCTGTTTTCTCTTTTGTTAGGCATTTACGATTAGTTTGCAAGATGCCTGTTTTGTTAGTAGAAAAAAAGGTTACTCGGACTCGCGGCGATCATTATTTTACGACGCTAATAACAACAGAATATCCAGCTGTACACTTCATTATCGTCTCATTCACATAAAACAGTTATTATCACCATCACCGCACGGTCATAATGTTGTCATTCGCTTTGATCGTCATCTACCTTCCCTCTCTAACATCAGATCATGATTAAAATACCACCCTCGACTAGATAGATACTTGAATGCATGGCATTAGGCTGCACGTCTCTTGATATGGATGGACCCATAGATTAAAAGCCAAACACAAGTTACAACCGCCTTAATATGTAGGCCCCAACCTTATTCGGAAAGCAGCAATGTGCTTTTAGCATTATTTATGAATGGATTTGTGTAAACAACAAAAAGTCTACACCACTCTGGCTCTGGAAGTTTTTTTTTTTTTTTAGTCTTTATTATAGAGATTTTTAGCCTGGGGCTAGTTCATCTCTTTGGCTCTGGAAGTAAGATATGACATAAATTATTAATGTCTTCCGATTGCTCAGATATCACACTCCACCACATCTGAATGTAGGCACTGCGCACCGTCATCAGCATCTTCTCCGGAACGAGAATGATGGATCTTATTTGAGTGGTAAAGCGCAACTACAATGCACAAAAAACAAGCACACACACATATGCCGGACTAAAACGTACAACAACAAAAAAAAGCGATGATTGTAGATGAGCATAGTTCCGAGAATATTTGATCCAAAGTGGGAAAATGCTCAACTAGAGATGTGCAAAATATTTGCATCTCATCAAGTAATGCCCGAGCAGGAGAAAAGAACTAAATACCTTATTCTGATCTGATACCAAAATTTGGTATTGACCAGCATGACATAAGAGGTAAAATACCAAAGAATTACATGCAAAATACTTTGTAAATACCAAAAATTGATATTTGGATACCAAAAGAATACCTGGGTGATATTGTTTTGGTATTGTATTATCATAATTTGGTATTGGAATGGTATTGTGCACAGCAAAAAAATAATTTTGATATCACATCAAAGTGGATGCACTACAATCATGTCGAAAATTTCATGTAATTTTTATGACCACATAAATAAACAAATGCAGTAAAAGCAGCGTAATGTCAGTTCATGCAATGTATTAATGATAATTTTGTCCTTTTTAGCAAGTAATATTACACCATATTTTCGACATGATTGTAGTGCATCCACTTTGACGTGATATCAAAATTATTTTTTTGCTGTGTACAACGTAGGTTTTTTTTTGGGACAGACGAAGGGTTAAGAATGAAAAGTTCATCCGTTGAGAATCAAATACACACAAAGCAGGAACGAATATCTCGATACCTTAAATTGGTATGGATGAGCCTGACATAAGAGGTAAAATACCAAAAAATAATACCAAAAAAATGTTTCCACACAGCAAAAAAATAATTTTGATATCACGTCAAAGTGGATGCACTACAATCATGTCGAAAATATGGTGTAATATTACTTGCTAAAAAGGACAAAATTATCATTAATACATTGCATGAACTGACATTACGCTGCTTTTACTGCATTTGTTTATTTATGTGGTCATAAAAATTACATGAAATTTTCGACATGATTGTAGTGCATCCACTTTGATGTGATATCAAAATTATTTTTTTGCTGTGTATGACCCCAAATTCAAATTATCAAAACTCAGCGAAGGGTCGACGGATTTTTGAAATTTCAAATGTTATGTAAAGTAAATTAAATTTACTTTCAGTTAAATTATCACACTTTTTTAGGGGTGGATCTCTCGAGGGGAGGGGTCATTGTAAAAATATACACATGAAGCGACATATTTTGATGTTAGAGATGTTTATATCACGAAATCCCAACCATATGGAAAGTTGCTTCGTTCTGCAAAGATGTTCAGAAATACATGGATAGTTTATGACAAAATTTACTCACTAGATGGCGGAAAAACGAAAATGATCAAGTGGTGCCATCTACGTACACATTATATAACGCTATCTACAGATCCTACTTATATGAATGGTTCCTGCCTTGAGTAAACTTGTTCAGATCTACAAGACCTATTCTGAGGTAAAGAGTTTAGTTCAGAACTCACTCACAAGACAAGTGTGACATTAATTTTGAATTATTTGCCCTAACCAAACATCTGGACTATATAGAAGGATTCTATCTATTCTATCCGTAAAGTTGTTCAGATGGTCAAGACTAATCCTATCGAAAATAGTTTAGATCAGAATTAACACATCAGGTGACGCTAATGTAATATTCATTTTGAATTGTTTGTCTTAACTTAACTTCTTGACTAGATAGAAGGTTCCCGTCTTGGCCAAAGTTGTTCAGATGGACAAGAACTATTTTAAGGTAAAGAGTTCTGCTCAGTATTCACTCACCAGGCGGCACTAGTGCGACATTAATTTTTCATTGTTTGCACTAAATAAAAGATATCCGTCTTCGATAAAGTGGTTCAGATGGATAAGACTTATCCTAAGGTAGAGATTCTAGTTGAGAATTCACTCCCCAGGGGGCGCTAGTGTGACATTCATTTTGAATTATTTGCCCTTACTTAACATCTTGACTATATAGAAGGTAGATGAACAAGAACTATTTTATAACAGATCAGAATTAATCATTTTGTGAAGCTTCTGCATTTATGTTCCAACAGATACCACTGCTGTTGTTTACGGTGACATCTATCGGAAACTACACACAACCTGTTTTCCGTTAATTGTTCACAGAGGACACTGCAGTGCAAAACATGTCTGGTACCTCTATATATGCATTTAGATTATTATTCGAAGTCCCTCCTTTTTTACACATTCTACACACAAAATAGCCCCCCCTCACAGAATTTCCCGCCGATTTTTATGAATGGGGCGGGGCATAAATCATCTTTTGCGCAGAATATGTAAAAAACGAGGGACTTCAAATGTTAAAGTAAATGCATATAGAGAGGTACCAAACATATTTGTAGTATAAGGTATTCTAATTTGGAATCTGTGAAAGAGAAATCACAAATTGAGTGTCATCCAAATTTGAATTTTTTGGCTGGGGACTGGTAGTAAAGCAGGTAAAACTGTATGGGGAAAAATAATTTTTATTTAATTGTAGCTTGTTTAGAAATAATTTCCGGGAAAAAACTAAACGACAAAGTCTCTGACTTATTTATTTAGGTTGCCGTTCATTTTTTTTTGACCTAAATATGTACCGAAAGCGAATTATTTCCACTTCTCTCAAATTCTATATGGGTATTTTTATCATTTCCTACCAGCGGCACAGCGCCATCTCTGTGGAAATGGCCGGACGATATGATTGATTTACTCCAAAGGCAGCGCTAGTGTGTCATTCATATGATCTACACCGATCTTTCTGCTGCTTTTGATAAAATCAATCACGAGATTGCAGTGGCCAAACTAGAGCGACTTAGTTTTCACGGTTCCCTTCTTGATTGGCTTCGCTCATACCTCACCGGTCGACATATGTCAGTGAAGATTGGAGATCATTTTTCTCAACCGTTCGCTGTTTCTTCTGGTGTACCTCAAGGCAGTCATCTGGGACCGTTCATATTTTTATTGTATCTGAATGACGTTCACTTTTCGATCCGTTACCTGAAGCTGTCTTATGCTGACGATTTCAAACTATACTTTGTCATCAAAGATCGAAGTGATGCATTGTTTCTTCGCTACTGTTTGGTGTGACAAGAACAGGATGGTATTAAATGCTTCTAAATGTGCCATTATAACGTTTTTCAGGAAAAAAAAATCACCTATATGTTATGCTTACAGCCTGCAGGAGCAAATATTAAGCCGTGAATCTACCATTAAAGA